ACGGACGAGAGTTCAGCGGTAAATTCATCCGATTGTGTGCGGGTTTTTTTTGGTCTCCCCACGGGTAAGTGGAGTAAAATCGCGGATAACCTCGGCGGATTAATAGGGCTTGCGATATTTCTCCTCCACATCACAATGGATAAAAGGAATTATATTGCGTAAAATGTAACAATAAAAAGGCAACGGTAATTCTTGCAAAGAATATGCCAAATGCAGATTCACGGATGGGTCCATCACTTTTGAAACGCCCGCCCCAATCTGATCACTCTTGTGCAGCGCTTGTCCCGATAATCACTTCATTAGCGTGTCCAAGAAGGCGCTCTCCGTGTCTGCCCGGGCATTGACCTGGTTGTGTGTTGTGAGATTTGGGGCTGGGATTAGAAAAGCTGGAAAGGGCCCACATTTTACACAGATTAGATGCAGGGCGAATAGAAGGCTATTCTATTCATAATCTATATAGCGTCCTTTTCAGGGCGTGTCTATTTATTCTCTAAAGCACTAACCTGCATATTCAAGTGTGTATTATTTAGTACAAACATTGCCTTCACTAGCTATGCATTCGTGGACCTATCACATTCTTATTTAGAATGTGCTTGTCCTCACACCATAAGCTTCTACCAGCCGTAATTATGACACTGATCAGTGTTTCATGAGATTAAGTGGACTTGTTATCACTGTATTCTTGGTTCTTTCGGTAAAGTCACGTAGATAGAAAATAAAATAACATAATAAAATAAAAAATATTATTTTAAATTTTTATTTTATAATCTGTTATTTTTATTTTATTTTCTATCTACGTGACTTTACCGAAAGAACCAAAAATATGAATCCCTGCAGTCACGAAAGTTTTAAGTCAAAATGTATTACTGTATTCTCCCTATTAGAAGATGCACTTTCTTCCCTGTAATTTAAAGGAAAGGTTGGGGGTGCTTATATTATAATCCTGCAGGTGTGTCTGTGTGCGTACGTGTGACTGCGTTGGCTGGCTCATGCAGCATGTCAAGCCACCGCATGCCAAAGCAGCTTTTCTTTGGCCGCATAGAGGGGACTAAACGGGCACGACATGGGCTGGAGACGTGATGGAGTGATGCGGTACGGGAGGATGGGAAACTGAGTGGACTTGCCGAAGACTGGTACAAGTGGTGTCAAGATCAGCCTCTATGGAGGAGGCTCGTGAAAGACGCTACTGAGCACTTGGAGACAATCGCCCTCCAACAATAACGGAGGGCAGAGGAGCAACGCTCACAACAACGAGCGGAGCGCCGGGCAGATAAAATCCAGCAAGTTTGCGCAGTACAGCTGGCGCATCTACCAGTCATCTCAGTGAGCCAACCCATGGCACCTGGGTATGTCCCGTGACCTGTCAGCGAGCTTTCACGTGGCCTCAAAGTGCACCTGGCCTGGCACAGGCGCGATGGTGACGTCACCGTCGCTGAGTTGTGAATTGTGGGTGTTGTCATTGTGACGCATGGCGAGGAGGGGAAATGTCGTCAGTACCATTGTCAAGGCGCTGTGCTACAAACCCGGCGACCCGAGTTCGATTCCCGCTCACGGCCAACACTAAATATCTCCCCTAGGGCAACTCAGCCTTAATTGAAAACTTGGGTCGGAGTGTAAACATCCCTACGAGGGAGACAAAGGCGGCCGGGCGTGGTGCTGGCCACCCACCCCCTCGTGCCGGCCTTCATAGGCGCACGCTAACAGAACTTGCTCCAACAGTCTGTTAAGGCTATACGGGGTATCTTTGTTTTGTGTGACTAGGTGAGTATATCTTTATTGACACCAGGAATAAGTTTGCAGTGCCTCTTTCAAGAGCACATTTGGAGAATATGGTTAGTTTCGAGTGAATGACTAGATTTATCATGGTAGTTTACATTTTAATGCTGTGACATAACGAATTTTTTCAAAAGGGGACATTCAATGTTGAAATGTGAAAATATAATGCAACTCTGTGCAATGTAAGCAAGAAAACTGACAAACTAATTGCTTTAATCCCTCAAGGAAAGCTTTTGTATATATTTATTTTGGCGGAGGTTGCACGTCTCCCGTGACTGCTTATTGGCCGCAATCATTGGGGCATCTGTCCCGGTCTTTCCCAGAACAGACGCTCGAGGGAACAAGCCATCAGCAAGCCATCAGCCTCGACGGTCTTTGTGTGGATGGGCCATGTTCAACTGCGATCGGCACAAGTCGGGGCTTATTTGTTTAACCAGGTGAGACAAGGATAGTCTCATTGGTAAGAGTGACCTGCGCCTGCACGAAGAGCCGGACTCCCGCTTACCTAGGAATCTCGCCAGAAACTAAATCTATAGCCGTGGTGAAAATTGAGTGAACTGTGATGGGCGCTCCTCTACTCCAGACATTTAACGATACGTGTTTCAAGTGTATTTACATAATATTCGTGCTTATTAACAGTGGCACTGACCAGTGTGGTGGATGATGGTCAAGCAACCTCCATTCAGCAGTGTACTGAAAAGTGCAGGGCACGAGTTTATTCACATATCACTCGTGGCAGGCTTTATGGTAAAAGTTAGACATGGTACACAGAGGCATAAGAAAGTAACACCTGGCTTTTGTAAATATGCATGATAAATAGCGACAACAATGGGCACACACATTCGGCACTGAACACATTTGCTGAAAAATAACCCCAAAACGTTCTGGGCAACATTTTTAGAAAGCATTGAAATGTTCGCATCAAAAGCACCAATACACAAGTCCAGATATAAACAAAACAAAAACCACATTGGATTGTCTTCACATACACATCTACAAAACACAAACTACATTCAGGGCTAAATTTCAGCCGGAACTGTCTGGCTGTCAGCGGTGCTCCGAAAAATGATGCCCATCATCCCTCCCCCACACCCCAGCCCCCGAGCTCCCGCTGTCAGGTGGAGGCAGGGTTTGGGAAATGAAGCTGTGACTATAATTTAATCCTTCACTGCCATAATATTAATGGGTACCACAATGTTTTTTTTTTATATGACTGCCAACTTGGCACAGTTTTATGGCTCGCGCAAAGCACTCTCGTGCGTCGCATGGTCAGAGAGAGAGAGGGCCGAGCTCTGTACTGGAACTTGCGGCTTTCAAGCCACGTCAGATTACGTGTTTGTGTATTGTACGTATTTTTGATATGAGCGCAAGTAAACTGTAGAAAGCCTTTACACTGTGAGACATCTCCTTTACCAGTGGCAAAATATAGTGATAGGTTTTTGTTTGCATTTTGACTGCTTGTGTTGTGGTTATTGCAAACATGATGCCTTGTGTAAAGGTGTCAGTTTTTGTACCAGTTGAAAGGGTAAATACCTATCACTGTAGAAAAGCCATCCTGTTCTTCACAAGAGGATTAGACGCCAGGCGGCGGCGGCTGCGCACGCAGAGGCGGCGAGGGTTGGCGGATTGCACAAATGTCGCGAAACTCCCTTCCCGTGTGCGTCGAGGAGGTGCCGCACTCTGGCTCGCTCGCCAGGAGACGGCGGTGCAGTGAGTGGACCAGTCGCCGTCTGTTTCCATTCGTACGGGGATAGAGCGTTGCCTCCCCTAAACTCATGAATTGGCTGAAAACATCATGAAAATGTAACCCAATGCTGGACCCTCCTGAAAGAGTCCTATGATTGTATTGTTTTTATAAAATATGTTGTAAAATTATGGGACTCGTATCTATTAATGCTACCAAACATTATTCGTGTATTATTTATTAATAAGTGCATTTATTATACCATTGTATCGTTACCACAGAGTTTCAACCATGAGTTTGTATGACAAATTGGAGCTCATCCATGCCTATGATACAGTTGCAAGTAACTAAACTAACATCAATAAGATATGCAGTTGTATTTAGACACTATATGAATTCATGGTCTATTGTATTTTGTGAATCGTACAGATTACTAAAGCTCTGAAAACAGATGTATGCAACGTTGCCAATTCTAATTGTTTACGTCAATGCGTAATTGGTTTAACTGATTATATACAAAAAACTTATCATCTAATGTACATTTATTGTGTTTTATAAAGGTATACAATGGTATGTGAAAATGCACTGCTGGATGTGCACGTTGTTGGTCGTGTTTTATTTAGTTATTTATGATGCCATACCCCACACTCCTCCACGCTGGTCAGAGAAGGGTTTACTTCACTTGTCATTTACCAACAATGTTAGCCACTAGATTTGAAGCTTTCATGACTGCAAGGATTCATACTCTTGTTTTTTTTTCGGTAAAGTAATGTAGGCATTTTTTTTATTTTATTAATTTTTTTACCGACGTGACTTTACCGAAAAAACCAAGAGTATTACGTTAGCCACGACTGGCAATCGAACCGGGATCATTGGGTTCAGTGGCACAGTGTGCTAACTTCTGCGCCACCACCCCACCTGCAGGTCCAAGTGGCATTATGGAACATACCCCATGTGCTACATGTTATGAGAGAATCACATCTTGCCAAAATCATTATGTAATGAGACTTTTTAAAAGTTCCCATGGACGAGTAAGCCGCCAGGAGCGACCGCCGCTTTCGTCATCATGAGCATTAGCCTGATTTTGAAAACTGTCCAGTTGTGGGTACAAGTAGCCATGTGAAAAGGATCAATTGTATCCTGCGTCAATCTGAAAAGCCGTTGCAGCTTTAATAAGAGGTATGCGTGGACTTGGTCATCTTGAGACTGTGTGGGAGGTCACTCCTGTGCTCCTGCATTTGATCTCTTACAGGAGGGACACAGAGGGAGAGAGACGCAGAGAAGAAGACTTGCAGGGAAATACAGACGTTCTTACTATCGATATCTCTCCCCTACACGACGTGCGAATTTGTAAAAACACCTCGCCGTGGCCGCAGCCTCGTAAATTGCTTTGAACAGTTCTGTTGACTTCGGTTTATTATCCGCTCACCTAACGCTTTGCGGCAAAGAAGTGACAGCAGCCCATTGCATCCCCTCGATTATTCGTGTCCCAGCGGTGGCAAAAAACAAGCAAAAAACGAAACCCAGCGACGCAGCCAGGATGACCGCTGAGCTCAACGTGTTCGTGGCGCTGCGCATCCTCCCGGGCTTCTTCACCAGCTGCCTCTTCCTGGGGCTGCGCGACGCGCTGGCCCTCCTGGCTCGCTCCACGAGGGCCCTCTTCGCGCGCCACGTCCCCGCCTCGTGCTGCCCGTGCTCGCCGGACGCGTGCCGCCGCGTGCTCACCCGCGCCGGCATGCGCGCCGTCTGGCGCAGCTTCTTGCTGGACGCGCGGCGGGAGGCCCAGCGAGCCGGCGACCCGGCGTCGAACCCGCGCGTCGCGCTTCTTGCCGACGCGCGGTCGTCTTCCCCGGCCGCAGCCACCGCCGCCGCCGAGATCCCGTGCCGCTTGCAAGAGCTGTCGAGAGAGGGGCGGCCGCTCGTGATCAACATGGGCTCTGCGAGCTGACCGCCTTTCGTCGGGCGGCTGCCCGAGTTTCGTCGCATGGTGGACGACTTCTCGCACGCTGCCGATTTCCTGCTCGTGTACGTGGAAGAGGCTCACCCGTCCGATGGCTGGGCCGTGCCCGGCGCACTGCAGGTAATCCGCGTGCGGTCGCTCGAAAATAAAAGCACTCTCGCTGGCTGGTCATCTTGGACATCTGTGGTCTGATGCATTCAATAATGAGGTCAAGTTAAAGGTGCAGCCCTGCAATTGCTTGCTCACATCACTGTTAGAGGAAGGGAACTTACAGGGAGTATCTTGGTTGACTCTTCCTCACTGGGCACAAATCTTAGAAGAGGTGTGAGTATCCACACTCTACCCTGCCACACGCAGCCTGCCAAGAGCGTTGGACCCATCTATACTGCTAGGTGGACAGAGGTGAGGTAATTTAATAAATGTTGGCATTATTTTAACTGCTGAATCGATGACCTCTGGATTGAATATCCAACGAGCAAACCATTACATCATGGCGAGCGGTCCAAATTAAAATATTAACCGATGAATAATTCTGCTGCTCAGCATCGGGAAAAAATGGCGACTGCACAATAACAGTTCTAAAGCCGACAAATAAATGCAATTGTAGTCGTTATAACATTGAAACATGTCCGGTACAATCTGTTTTGGTTTGAGGAGGGTAGAGAGAACATGTAAAATGTGTCTGGGAATGGGGAATTGGAGTGCACGGAGTGATCACAAAGGGTAGTAGATAGTTGTGTTTAGATGTTTAGATGACTAAACACACATCTGGCAGTAGACGAACTGTGGTTTACACATTTGTTGTGCGGGTGGGTGAAGGCGGAGCGCCAATTGTTTGCCCCCAAACCTGGTCAATTGCCAGATGTCTATCTTATGTATGCAGACAGTTGATATCAATATTATTGGCAAAGGCGCGTTTTTAAATCGCCAAAATACAATAGGAACATTTAAGTGTGGATTAACCTGGTCTTTACCCCAATTATACGTGAGTTGCAAACTCAAATGCTCTGTTAATGGTTGTGTACACTGTACACCGCGCTTTGGATCTGGGGTGTGGGTGTACAGAGAAGAAATGTAAGACTCAGCGGTTTTGCTGCAAGGGTTGTACTGCACAGTCATCATGTCGAATAACATCTGGGGTATAATCCAAAACACCACATTGGAGAAGGGATCCCTACCAAGCCCAGAAAATAGAAAACAAACAAGGCTTGCTGTGGCATGATTTGGATTCCATGGATTTTCACAATTTTAACTACATGTCTATCATTGCTGCGTGGAAATGTTTTGCGCAAAACGATTGATTTCGACTACGAAATATCACATAAACACCTTGTCCAAAAATGTACCTCGCTCTCTCTGTGCCATGTCCTTTCCCAAAGATGCCATCAGTAACGGCCTTCATTCCGTTTAACTCCGTCAAACATTACTCACGGAGTTTGCATTTGATATTCCCAGATGAATAAAACAATTTGAACTGCGTATGTAACTTCACTCACTGTCTTCCCCGGATTCTTGCGCCTATGAGGTTCCCAGTCAAAACATCATGTTTTCTCATAACATGTCAGATAATATAATCCTATAATTTGCCTTTCTCGAATTATTTTGAGTAATTTTCGTGTTGTACTTGCTTCAAATATGTGTGCGCTTAATAGAGACTTGGTTCCTGGTTTTGTGAAGGGCTCAACTAAAGTAGTGTTAGGCAGCAGAGGGCCACAATCATGAGTAATATTTGGGTTTTACCGAATTGATTTCTTTTCGGCCATGAGTACAGGGTGATAACATTATATACATCCATCCAATGTCTCTGACCATTTCAATTTCTTCCCAACAGCTGATGGAATATCGTTGAAGGCTATGGCTATACATTTTCTTACAGAGGCGGGAGTTACTCGACTTAAGGGCACTGCGTTTGGTGAGAGACGCGTTGAGGATTAGAAACATGCGGTAATGTCGTTTTCGCTGTCGTTTCTCCGTTAGTTTGGTGGGGTATCTACAAATGGATCACCATGTGAATTCGGCCAGTCAGGTGCAACGCAGGGACCATTGTGTGTGGGTTGCAGAAACCATTAAACGCGGACTGTTTTTGGAGTATCCTTTAGTTCGATGGCGTCTTCTTTCGAATTTTCATTCTTATTTTATTGCCCCTTTCCCCCCCAAAATTATCCCAATCGATCTGAGTCCTGTCCCGAGATTACGAATACATTAGGAGCCCGAGCAGAGCACTGGGATGCCTTGTGTCGGAAAAGAGACCGCTACTTCTGATATCTCTTCAGGTGACCTAGGGGCCCTTCACTTTCCCATCCTACCCTGCTGCAGATTAATCTTCATTCTAGTTGGCTCAGATGGAGAGCGAGCGGCTTGCAATCGGAAGGCCGTGAGTTAATATCCTAGTTGGCGGTTGAATCGGTCCATGATTCCTCTGGGTCGATAAAATACGTACTATGTTGTGGGGAAGTCTTATGGAGAGACTCTCCCTCGTCATAGGACAGTGGAATTCCACCCACTGGCTCAGGGCTGTAAAGAGAAAATGAGAATCGCCTCAATGCTTATTTGAGCAGGAAATTGCTTTGGCTCGACTGTGGCATGATAGTCAAACCAATCTCTCATTTACTTGATACAGCTGTCGTGCTGTGACGGTTCCACCTGAAGACGGAAGCTGGTGTTGCCTCCGAAACGTCGTGATTTTAATTTTATATTTATTTTACTTTTATTAATTTTAATTTTAAATTTTTACCTACGTGACTTTACCGAAAAAACCTAAGAATATGAATACTTGCAGTCATGAAAGCTTCAAATCTAGAGTCAAACCGATATTTTAAATTTTCAGAGTTGGAAGTTAGTGATATTAAGCGTAAACTCAATTTTAACATGATGGGTTTTATTGTAAATTAATTGGTTACCAGGCTGAGGAATATTGACTTACTCCACTTGAGGACATGGGTCTAATCATGGCCGGCTGTCCGAATTGGAGTACATAACCTCAGCCCAGTGCTCTAACATCTGAGTCATCTCCGAGCAGTTGCTAGAGAACATCCATCGATGAATTGGTCCATGGTTACATTTCTGGCAAAAATATATATAATATTGTATTAAATATGACATCAGGTGATTGGTTCCCATTCCATGTAAAAACTCTGAGATCTCAGTAGTTATGAAATTGAGATTAATTTTGCCTGAAAGCATGGTGGCCCAACTCCAGGATCCATTTCCATGTTCAGAGTTGAGGATACTGGCTGGCCTGGGACCAGTGTCCCACGTTCGCCAATAAGCCATCAGTGTGAGGACCACCACGCCGCCTGTAAGAGAAAATAATTCACGTTTGTGTATTGTCGGGGGCCGCACGTGAGGGGCCGCACGAAATGCCACCAGGGGCCGCCAGCGGCCCACGGGCCTTGCGATGAAGAACGCTGCAATGGGAGGGCACACGGGGAAGTGCCCCTTGTGTGGGATCTCAGATATTATATCAACTTCCGCGGGCCAATCTCTAACATGTTGCAATGCATTGTTTTGTGAGAGTTCAACATCAGTAACAAAAAAAAATATTTCTTCATCTTTTTTTAATACCCGTCTCCCTCCCATACCACAATTTCAACAAAACTGGGAGAAAAACAAAACATTGTTCAATAAACGCCTTCGCAGTGAGGGCCCGTCTTAGCTCACCATGTCACCTCACCGTCTCACCTCACCGTCTCCCCTCACCGTCTCCCCTCACCGTCTCACCTCACCGTCTCTCCCGCAGGTGCGAACTCACCGCGACATGAGCGAGCGGGCAGCCGCCGCCCGTGACCTGGCGCGCCGCTACCCTCTGGGCGCCTGCCGCCTCGCCGCCGACTCCATGGCCGGGGAGGCAAACGCGGCGTTCGGCGCCTCGTTCGGCCGAGCGTGCGTCCTCAAGGAGGGCCGCGTGGCCTACCTGAGTGGGAAGGGCCCGTTCCTGTACAGCATGCCGGAGCTGAGGCACTGGCTGTGCAGCAAGATGGCACGGGGCGTCTCTTGATGGGGGCGACATCCTCGTGAGGATTAAGTAAAATGTGCAAAGCACGCGGCGAACAAATAAATTATTAGGCGCTAATGTTGGCGAGATGTTAACTACCTCGCCTGCATTTTTGGAGTTTGCGTGTTGTCTCTCCCCGTGGTCGCGTGGATTTTTCTCTGGGTCCTCCCGTTTTTCCCTTCTACGTTTAGAATCAACATCACGCGATTAAAGTATATGGCTGCTACACATGTCCACATGATACGCCACTCCGTTGAGCTATTATTTGTGGCCAGGTTGCTTCTAAAAAAGAGCTATATCGCTCAATGGGCCTTACCTGTTAAAATACAAAAATAGTTTATAGTTTTTTACTAAGTGGCAAGAAAGCTTGTGCATTTTTTTCCACGATTGCTGAGCACAGTACAAGGCCCCAAACGCCGAGTGGCCTGCAACAAACAGCGCTGTTCGAGGTGAAATAGATAAGCGTCAATACGTGTCTGTGTTTGAGCAAGGCGGTAAGGACTTGGGAAAGGAGATGATGCGATGGGATTCCATTGTGGAAGGAAGCAAGTGATGTGACCTACAGTGTGTATGGTTGAACAGCGTTTGCTAGACTGAGTCCTCAACATGGGTGTAGGAATCTACGAGTGAAATCATGGAAACGTTGTCCAACCATGGTAGTAGCGATAGAAGAGTGATAAGGAGGTGACTGAAGATTATTTGTGTCGCTTATAACAGGATGCCGTCATGGATCTACACTGAACAGTGAAAGAGCAAACAGATACAATACCGGATAAGAAAGATTGAGAGGATGTGGAGAGTATGATCTTGTCTTGTGCATTTTAATGTTGTGGCGAGTGCTGCTGTGGGAGTCTTGTTATTTATAGCTTTATTGTTTATTTTATTTAACTTCGGGACTGAATAGAAGGTGGTGCGGCCCGGCAAATACTTCGCTTACACCAATGCTAGCGGGAAGGGGGTCACCAGCATAGGGGCCTCCAAATAACCCCCATCGAGGGCATTTGGCCTATTCTTCCACGCTGTCAAGACGTCTTGGAGGAGGTGCAATCACCCGCGTTTTACCTCCAGTGCCGGATTCAGCTAGTGCGGGGTCTGTAGCATATTATGTTATAAAGGGGCCCTAAATGAAAAAAAAGACACAAAAGCCCTGAATCCCCTGTCACGCTTTTCCCATAACCCCCTTCTTGCCTTTACCTTTCAAATCTCACGACCAATCCCCTTCCACTCCTCCTCCCACTCAGATGAGTGCTAGGTGGTCCCATTAACATCACCTTCCCATCCGTCACGTGATGCGGGTGAGCATGCTACCTGTGAGTGGGGAGCGGTCGTGTAGAGGCGAGTGCGCTGCACTACGAATCCAGCGAGCCGAGTTCGTTTCCCGCTCACGGCTAACACCAGTGACGATTATCTGAATCGGTCCCGGGCCTCCCCTAGGTCGACTCTGATTCAAATGAGTCCCTGGTACGATGTGTAAACATCGTCACTGGGGAGACAAAGGCGGTCGGGCGTGGTGCTGGCCACCCACCCCCTCGTGTACCGTTACGCCTTATATAGGTGCTGTTCGCTAACATCACTTGCCACCTACAGTCGGTGAAAGGCTATACGGGGGATCTTTGTATTTGTGAGTAATGCACACGGCCAGGCTTGTTCTCTGTTGGCAACGGCCAGACCTGGTACCCCCGAAGATTGTTGTGAGGGCTGTGTAGCCGGCAACTCTTTGTTGAGTCGAGACTCGAGACTCTGGTGGCTGTCGACCATTTACTTGCTGCTGTTTTTGTGCTCGGTGCGGGATGAGCGGTGAATTATGAAATTGGCATTCCTGGAGCATTTTGCAACGACCCTACACATGCATCTCCCTCAATGTTTACACTGCCGTGAAAAATGCTTCATCTGTAAGTTGTAGGCTTGTATGCGCATTGCTCTATTCACGTAAATCAGCACTTGAAGGGCTCACTGAGGAAGCCGGTTTGCTTTTTCATTATTCGTGAACGTACGCTGCTTTTGCTTGCTCAATGCAACAGCAATCTCATACACACATACACAAACTGTGGTGGATTGAACATTGCGCGCATATTAAAAAAAAAAAAATTTAAACAAAAAAACTATCGTGTATGGGATGGAAAAGTAGCAAGTGCCACGATGGCGAGATGTTAACTCCCTCGCCTGGTATGAAGGAGGTCGTGGGTTCGATCGCGACCCTGACGCCTGCGTATATGTGGAGTTTGCGTGTTCTCCCCATGGTCGGTCCCCCCCCCACACATTTAGAATCATAATGCATTCCGAGTTTTGACTTTAAACTTTCGTGACTTCAGGAATTCATATTCTTGGCTCTTTCGGTAAAGTCACGTAAATACAAAAAATAAAATAATTTTTTCAGAGTATTTGGCTGCTATAAATGTCCACGTGATAAGCCACTTCGTTGAGCTATCAATTGTGGCCAGGACGCTTCTGAAAAAGAACTATATAGCTCAGTGGGCCTTAGCTGGTAAAATAGAAAATAGTTCGTATGTATGTTGAATTTCATTCGCACCGTATGTAGCCAACCATGTCAACCATGCTAATCGACATTAGCAGGTACGCTGCGCTCTTGACCTGGATACCTGAGTTCGATTCCATCAGCGGCGAAGCGATATCTGAATCGATCTGAGGAGCACCCTTCACCAACATGCACTCACCAGCTTGATGAAGTATGGTAAACAAAAATATCCACGACTGATATAATATGATCTTGGCCTTTAACCAGTAGTGGATTAACAAAGCCTGGCAGTTATTAAATGTTAATGTATAAATATGGGACGGTGTCACATATTAAGCTACAAAAGGGATGAACTGTGTGCCAGTCTTGCTTTAAAAATTAAACACACTCATAATGCCACCATCATCGGCAACTACGTTTCATGCTATCATCACAACTGAAAAACTAACGTGTTTGCATGACAGAAACGACGAATTGCACCGCGAATCGCACAAAGCACGTGTAAGCCGCTCAATGGATAGATAGGTGACCTTGGGGAAAAGCATGCTTCGCCAACCGGAGATGAGACGTTTGGAAAGCTGTGTGTGTGTGTGTGTGGGGGTAGAGGAAAGGGGCTGGAGTCCACACAACAGATGGTGACGGGAAGAGGTGGCCACAAGCACATCTATCAAGTACGTTGGCACCACGCTTCGCAAGCGCGCCCACGTGCGGATCAACACGGTGCTTTGCCATCCCGATCACGCTCCCACCTCTGCCGACCCGTTGCTCTGCACACCGCTGCCCTCCCCCTGGGCCGTCTTGTGCAATGCGCGGTTTGCAGGCGTGCCTCGCTGTTCTCGTGATGTGTCGGGCGTCGGTCTTCGGTCGCAAGGCCGCTGCTTGCCAATTGCGAATGGTAACGTCGGGTTTCGATGTCGGGCAGCGGTGGCGGTTTTAGTTGAAAGAATGTCGGAATGATGCGAAGACTAAAGGGATGTGTTCATTTGTTGTTATTCGCTTACTTGTAAAAACGTGTGAATAAAGTTGTGTGCTTAATTTACTGCGGTTTAATCGAAGTGTATTATTTATGTCTATTCCACAAAAGGTGTTCCAACTACACGATCGGTGGCATCTTAACAAGACAAACGAGTACCCATTTGTAACTTTTGCAAAGGAGCGCATCGCCCCATGTTATAGTACAGCGTGGTCCAGATGTCTTGTGACCCCAAATGAATCGACCCCTAACATTTTTTTTCTCCTTTGCATATTCATTTCCGTAAAAAAATATAATTTATTTAACAAAAATAGTAAAGATATAAATGAGGGTCACAAGACATCTAGACCTCCATGTGCAGTGGAAAAAAATTGATATCATAGAACTAAATTTTGACTTAAAACTTTCGTCACTGCAGGAATTCATATTCTTTGGATCTTTCGGTAAAGTCACGTAGATAGAAAAATATAAATAAATACAAAATCAAAACTACGACGTTTCGATCACAACACAAGCGATCGTCATCAGGAGGCAAAAGGGGGGAAGGCCACTGAAGCCGGAGGCAAGCCAATGTTTTCATGCAAGAATGTGAGACAGACGCCACCCAGGCATCCACTCTACGCCCGTCCTGATGGAAGAGGCACGTGGGTGACACATTCGTCATCTGGCCACGTGGCCGACCGGCTCTGAACCAATTCCTCAACCACATCAATTACATGCACCCAGCCATCAAATTCACCATGGAGGTCGAAAAAGATGGCAAGTTACGTTTCTTGGATGTCCTAATCATAAAGAGACCAGATGGCTCAATGAGCCATTCTGTGTACAGGAAAGTGACCCATACTGACGCCTACCTAAAACCTGACTCCCACCACCATCCTTCCCAGAAGAATTCCCTCATCAAAACTCTACACCATAGAGCTCGATGTATCTCCGACCATGATCACCTAACCAGTGAACTGAAACACGTGCACCAAGCTCTCAAGGAGAATGAATATTCCGACTACACAATTCGCAAAACCATCACCCCAACCTTGAGGAAGGAGCCATCTGAGGATCCAATCAAAACCATCACCTTGCCATACATAGCAGGGGTAACTAAAATATTTACAAAATCATGAACAAACACAAGATCCACTGCACCACGGCGCTCTCCGACCACGTATGTCCCGCCAACTTCGTTCTGATACCAGGACGCTTGTGCTACGCCCATTTTTAAACCTTTAAAATCAGCTTCCCTTCAGTGGCCTTCCCCCCTTTTTTTCTCCCGATGACGATCGCTTGTGTTGTGATCGAAACGTCGTAGTTTTTATTTTTTAATTTACTTTTATTTTTTCTATCTATTTAACTTTACCGAAAGATCCAAAGAGCATCACAGAACGAGTAGTGTGCTTCTGAGACGCCACACGCAGGCCGCTGGACTCTCCAACATGCCCCCTCTAGCAACATCTGTCGCATGGCAGTCAAAACTATTTTGCTCGTTCTCAGGGTTGATTTTTTTTGTACAACTTCAGTGAAAACACCACGATTATATTTTTTGTTCAGTCATTGGTG